GTTTCTAGAATTTGAAATTCAAATACTTAGTTATTGAAAATGAAGAGCATTTAATTGTCCATTATTCAAACTTAATTCATGTTTACGCCAACCGTCGCCACCATGTACCATAGCCTATTGGCTTTGCCTGCTCTGATGATCAGTTCAACTTCTAACCACGTCCGATCCCCCGCGCGTTCTCTCTCTCTCATCCCTCTATATATATCCTCTCCCATGATTTCTCTAACTAGTGCTCGTAATTTGATTTAAGCTTGAAAAAATTTAGAACTAATCTTAAAAAATGTGTGTATTTTTTTGTTCAGGACGGTCCGAAAAAATTCAGGTTGCCTGAATATCCAAATGTAAGTTTACATTTTTTTTAAAAAAAATATTAAATATTAATTAATTCTCTCCTCTTCAATCCACTATTCTTTGTCCGACCTCTCTTCTTGTTTTTAGGTGGTTTTTGTTTTCTATTCTTTACAATTTATGAAGTACCTCTGATGATTCTTTAGATGGTATAATGGTGAGCCGCCTATATCTTTATCCCCCCTGCACAATCTGCTTCAACGTTGCCAACTTGTTATCTTCCAAATTTTTTCATTTGATTGAGAGAGAGAAAGATTGATGAAGTGGGATGTGAATGAGTGTGGTGTTGTGTATTTTACTGGGTGTAATAATTTTGTAATGGAATATAATTATTTAATAAAGCGGATTTAATTCTTAAAAGTCAATCAGTCGATGATCACAAACACACAATATATTTTTTTCTACTCTATTATTTCTGCATTCTCTGAAAACTCTGGGGTCTAGTAAGTTATGTGTCTGTCTACATTCGAAATGATCGAGATATCTCTAGTAAGTATTTATAAATTTTTCAAATACGCATACATTACTTTACTTGTTTATATGAATTGAGATATACAAATTCAACATTTTGTACAGTACTGCACAAGTTAAAGTGTGCGTTGCAGGATTTGTTTTGTCTGTGTGCTTTGGCGAGGGCACATACAGAGCTCTTCAAGTATTGATCACCTCTGGAATAATTTCTGAATAATTCAAATTTAAATACTTTTTTAAAATAAAAAAATTTATAAAATTTAATAAATCTATTAATTATTAAAATATACAATTTATATTTAACCAGGTCAATCTAAATTTAATATTACTTTTTTTATAGTTTTTATAAATTAGTGATATAGATTTGCTTTAAATTGCCTTGAAACTAACATAATAATAAGTTAAAAATTTTGAATCTGAATAGTGCAAGGTAAATTTATATGATTAATTTATAAAAATTATAAAAAATTAATATGAAATTTGGATCAATTTAATTAAATGTGAACGATATATATTAATAATTAATAAATCTATTCAAAATTTTATAAATTTTTATTTAAAAAGTAAAAAATATTTAAATTTGAATTTAAATTATTTAAATTAAATTTAGATTATTCAAATTATTTAATCTGCACTACTCAAATTATCTTATAAGTGATGAGCACATGAGCACGAATCGTGCTCCCGTGCTTTCGCTGGTTCTATCGCTGTCTCCAGACAGGGTAGCTATATATAGGTTTCAGCTTCATGTGTTTTGTCACTCTGTGTTTACTGTTCAACAAAAGAATCAACATTATAGGGCTAAAGCCTACATGTGTGTCTCTGTGCGCGCGTAGATTAATTAGATATAAAGGCCAGGGTCTTTTCTTGTGGCCGCAAAGGCCCAAGCCAAACAGAGTGAGTGAATTTATCGTACAATTTTAGTGCAGACATAATAATGCTTCCCACTTCTCTATAAAAAATACATAGAACCCAGACAATGTAACTAGGGGAGAAAATGATAGTTTCCTTTTAATTATTCATGCAACACATATGCCCACCGCCTCAAAGTATTGAAAAGTATGAGTTAATTTGGACACAATTAGCTTGAACATGTATGACTTGTTCTTTTACATCTATTGCAAGGAGAATCGGGAGCACAAGTTAAGTTAAGTGAGAGGATTTGAGATACTTATTAAGTCTAGATCCTGATTTGGAAGGACATAAGTATCATTTTCCCTAACTTGAGAAAATGACAAATATAAACCTTGTAAAAGTATCAATGACAATTGAAGACCCCATATTATTGAAATGTTATGAAAGGACCATAATCTTCATTTATAATTTAAAATAAATAATTGTAAAATAATAAATAGAATATGACTCATGAATTTAAGTAAAGTTGGCTGTAAATTTTATATAATGTTACTTGTGATAAATGAAAAGTCAATTGTAAATGAATAGATAATTTTATAAATTTACATACATATCATCACTTGTGAATTTTTGAAAAGTTACTAATAAATTTATAAAAATTTAGTTGTAAATGAATAGTTAGTTTCATAAATTTATCCATCACATATGATTTAGGACAGTTAGTTGTGAATTTAAAAAATATTATTTGTAAATATATATGTATGTATGTATGTATGTATGTATGTATGGAACATTAGGTTATGAATGAATACAAGTAGTCTTAATTATAAATTAATAATTTAGGAACCCTCTCACATGTTTCTGAATATCTATTCACAACTTATTTGACTTTCTATAAATTCACAAGTAACCTTTTGAAAAATTTACAAGTGGTTACATATCCTTAAATTAACAAGTAACAATGTATATATTCATAAAATTATCTATTCGAATTTACAATTTATAAGTAATTTTCTTAAATTCACAACTAACATTCCTTAAATTAATGAGTGAACTTCTATTGATTATTTCAATAATTAAAAATATTTCAATTGTAAATAAAAACCATGCATGGCCCTTTCTTGGCATTTTAATATTTCAATGTCTTCAATTATCATTAACGTATTTATAAAGTTCATAATTATCATTTTTCCTAATTTTTGTCATTATAATATCATTGTATTCGAGTAGTAGTTGAAAAGTCATCTTATTTTTTAATATAGAAAAGCCCTAGAAAACTTGAAAAAATCCATTATCTCCAACGAAATGTTATTTAAAAATGGATGGAAAATTAAATTAAAGGAAATAAATTACAATTTTTTTCTACAATGCGAAATTTTATTGGAAAATTCAACCAAATTAATAAAACATATAAAAGAAAATTGCTTTGGACAATCATTATTATTGGATAAGGGTCAATATAAAAAGAATGTGTTTGTTTAAAAATATTTAACTAAATTATTGAAGGTTAGATTTAATTAAAAATACTTTTTATTTTTTTAATGGAGAGAGTGCACAAATGTAAACGACGACAATCATGATAAAGTATTAAACTAATTTTTAACATGGTATTAATCTTAAATTAACACCATGTTCTCGAGCAACGGGAATGAAAGGTTTGTACTCACTACTCTGAGCCACCATCACATTGTAAACTCTTAATTTTACTATTAAACTAATTTTTAACCAAAGGTTGAAAATGATTAAAAGCAGTAATTGCTTCACCCTTATGCTTTAATGGATATAACCATGTGAATCGACTGAAAGCATTGACAAAGTGAATATAATAACAATGACTATGTATTGACTGAATTGGGGAAAGACCCCATAAATTATTATGAATTAATTTTAATGGAAAAGATGCTTGAGAATTAGAACTAGCATAAGGAAGAGATTTGGATTTGCTATATTGACATGCTTCACAAATAAGTTTTTCATTGATATTCATAGAGGCATTACATTTATTCAAAATTTGTTTCAAAATTCTATCACTAAAATGGCCTAACTTGTAATGTTAGTCCAAATAAGACATAAAATGCACTTCTGGAGTTACAACAATAAGAGCCTTTTGTTGAACAGAAATAGAGTTAGCTATGGGGTACATGCCCTGTCGAGGGGGCTCGTGCATCAAGACCTATTTTGTCAGCGTGTCCTTCACAACACAACCATCATCAGAGAATTCAACATAAATGTCATTATCAGAAACTAGTTGAAAGATGCTTACTAAATTTTTAGTGGTTGAGGGAACAAGCAAAACATCATTAAGATGAATAGGAGTAGAAGAGCATGAAAGAATCTTATTACCATAACCGGATATAGGAGCTTGAGCGCTAGTGCAGGTTCAAATGTGAGACTTATTAGTAGGAGTGACCTAATCAAGTTAGGCAGGATCAAGAATCATATGGTAATTTGCTCCACTGTCAAGGTACTAAGCAAAATTATTGACGATAAATAGCAAAGCGTAATAGGCTAGTGGAGGAAAAGAATTTCCAGGACAATTCAAACTAGAACGTGGAGGTTGAAAATCTTGATCAAACCAATGATAATAACTTGCAACCATACGACCAGGATGATAACACAAATAAAAGTAAGGTCAACCACCACTACCTTTCAACTGACCTCTCAAATGACCACACGTGCCACGGTACCCACTCCATGAGCCATGATTATCATCTCAACCATGCTGAGTAAAATTAGCTGAAGGTTGAATGGATAGAGAAGAGAACTGCTTTAGCTTATCCATTTGACTTTCATAGGCTAGAAGTAAGGCTTCAGCATCAATCCAAGACAAGTTAGGTGAATCAATAAGTTTAACCACAATCGAATTGTAATCAGCATCTAGTCCACTCAAAGTATGTATGATAAGATCTTCAGTGGTAATAGGAGAGTATGCTAGAGCTAATTGATTAGCTATATACTTTATTTTTTTAGAGATAATCTTCTATTTTAGAGCCATTTTTTTGAGTTCGATGAAGTTCAATCTTATATACCATAAAACGAGCCTTTGTCGACGTACTAGCTAAAATAAGAGCAACATTCCATAGGTTAAGAGCTGTTCGACATCAGCAAACATTGTATTTCTTAGCCATCTAACCAAAAGGTGATCGAAAGAAGTCCATTCCTCATACTTAGGGTTCAGCTTGGTTCGTGCCATTGACCACTATACGTGGTGAAACTTGACCGAGACCATTAATATGTAACTCAAGTTTGTTTTCCTCAATTAAAGGAAAAATGACAGACTCTCAAAGAAGAAAATTGCCTCTTTCCAACTTGATAGAGGTGGAGGACTACGATGATCCAAACAATGGATTGGTTTTCGCAGCCTGAACGATGATGGTGGTTGGCGTAGTAAAAGAAATGAGAGCTCCAGTAGAAGATGCCTTGTCACACTCTGATACCAAGATAAAATGAGAGAATAATGAAGAAAATGCCAAGAGCTCAAGATACTCTGGCACGCCATTCTGTATATACTATATAGCAGAAACAGTTATAGGGAAAACAAATAAATAAGACATGTAGCTTTAAATAATAACTTTACAAAACTGAGATAATTACAAATATTAACATAATAAATATTGTGTCTTAATAAAGAATTGTTCAAGACACCAATGGAATGAGTTGATCGATGTTTGAGAAGAATAGAGGCAGATTCTGCCCTGCTTCATCATGATCAAAGACACAACCATCTCTAGGACCTGTTGGTATGGCATAGTTTATTTGTCCAGCTTTATAAGCACTATCTCGTGCAGCAAAAGGCAAAATGCTTGCGTATGAAATAGTTTGAGGATACTCATCTTCAATTTGGGCACTGGCTTCCTTAATTACCATGAAGCCACGTAAATTAAGATTGTTGGCTAGGTGGTCTCTCTTGGCTTGATTACCTAGAGTAGATTGTAGTAACTAAACCATCATAACCCTATACACACACCCCCTATACCCACCAACCGATTAATAATTTGATATAGCATCTTTAGTAATATGCATTTAATGATATATATATATATATATATATATATAGTCACCATTAAAAAAAAAGAATTGCTGTTGAAACCCCAAAATGTTGCCATGTGAACTTCATTTATGTTCTACCATTTTGGTTTTAAGATAGAATGAACCTACAGTCTATTGTTACATAATTGAATATATATTATTAAACTAGATAAACACACATATAAATAGATAACATTTGGTTTGTTATATAATTCAATTACACACTATATCTTAAATGTTTAATATTATAAAATATTATTACTATCATTAAATCTTCAATTTAATTCTTTTAATTTGTTAAAATTTTAAATTATATTATTTATTATGTCTAAAGTAGACTATTCATGTAATTGATACAATATTTTTTATATTATTCATTTTTATTTTTTGTACTTCTTGATGTTATTGTATTATTTACTCCCTCCATTAAAAAAATGTGAATCATTTTTAATCGAATATCATCCTCCAATAAAGTATTACCTACTTTCTAACTAACTCATCTTTTCATATTTATCCCTATTAAATATTCTAGAATAAACATAAAGTCATTATTAATAGGGGTTCTTTTAAAAAAAATAATGATTATACTTCAAAATACTAAAAATGTCTTATTTTTAAACATTCAACTCCTCAAAAAATACCTTATATTTTTGAATGAAAGAAGTATTTTAATATTCATATTTATAATAATAATAAAAAGATAAAAATATCTAAAAATAAATAATAAAAATACAGATGATTATATATTAGATCATAATATTTATTTTTTTGCTAGTTGTAATTAAAATTTTATTTTTTATTTTAATTAAAAATAACTCTTAAGTAATGTAATTGACTTTTTTGCATTATATTTTACTTTTTTAAGTATTTTTTAATTTTAAATAATAGTTTTATAAGAAAATCATACATTACAAGCAAAAAATCATGTAGCATCACATACATAAATATTATAGCATCATCATATATTCTAAAATTTAAAAGTATAATTTTAGAATATCTCATTTCTTTTTTTTTTATCTTCCCCTTTTCTATCATTAGCCATTAAATTGGGAACTTTTATAGTCTAAATTAGCATCAAGTTTCAAAGCTACCTATATCAAATGTAGAATTTGAATTAAAAAATTAGATTAGTTGAAATATCGTTCTATCGATAAATAGATTTAACTATCATATGCCTTAAGTATTATCAGCAAGTAGTGTTATTATTTGAAATATCAATTTAATCTAAAAGATTTGAAAATAGAGATTGACTATCACATTATATGCATTTCAAATTGAAATATCAAACAATATGTTTTTGAACAAATTTAGTACATCACATAGGGGTGTGCATTGCTTAATTCAGTTAGATTCAGTGTTAATTGATCAAAACCAATGAACCAATGAACTAAACAGACCTAAATTAATGTGTTCAATGAAAACTCATTATCTTATTTTATGTATTCATGATAAAATTACAGTAATACAATAAAATTAATGTATTAAAATGTTAAATATTGGATAAAATAAAAAATTATGATGACAATATGTAGTTACTATTTATTGTCATGAAAGTCAAGCTTTCCATGGTAATAGCAACTCTAAAAAGCCATCGCTAATCAACAATGACTTATATGCTGTTACTAAAACTTAGATTTTCAGTAGCGACATGCACTTGTCATTGTTGAAAGTTTGATAATTAACGATGACTTTATTTTGTTGCTGTGGAAAGGTACATTTTCAATGGCGACGTTGATTGTTGCCACAAAAAGTCAAACTTTTAGAAGTCATCACAAATTGTTCACTTTTAGCGACATTTTTTTAGAGTTATCATTGAAGGATTTTTCTTCTTCTTCTTCTTCTTCCTTTTTTTTTTTTTGTAGTGAGTGCAGAATTTATGTGTTGCTGGTGATAAAATTGGTATGAACAAGATAGGAGAAGCTCAGAAGGGAGAATGGCGTGGTAGTGTAGGGATGGGGATACTGAGGTGGGAGAGAATATAGAAAGTATTTATAGGTTGCACTTTGTTAAGGAGCAATGAATCAAAACGTGTGTATCATTAGCAGGTGAGGCGCTGTCTGTCTTTGAACATTTATCATCAAAATATGACTGCTCATCAAAATTCTTTTGTGTTTTATAGTTTTTGGTGCGTAGAATATAATTTCAAATCAACAAAGTGCGAAATTCATCAAAGGTTGCGGGGGTGCGTTCGTTCTTCCATCAAGGCTGGCAGGAATAAATCATAAATGTAAGCACTTGGGGTTCATCTTCCATGCTAATCAGATGAGATTTAAATCATTAAGATTTAATTTGAATTTAAAATATTTATTATATATTTTTTAAAAATAATAATTTATAGAAATTTTAAATTTTTTTAATAAATCTGTTTATCAATTTGGTCTTGATTTAATCTAGTATATCCAAATTTAACATTAAAATTTTTATAAATTGATTATACAGATTTACTTTGAATAGTTTAGATTTATAATTTTTTAGCCTTTAAAATAATTATTAAAAAGTGCCAGTTATTAGAAGATTATTTTAGTTTTTAATATTGTATTTATAACAATAAAAATTATAAAAAATTTAATATTTAATCTAGACCGTTCAAAATATACTTGGATAGTCAATATATAAAAATTATAAATAAATTTTAATATTAAATTAGACATTTTAAATTATATTTAAACCAGCTAGGTGATGAAAATATTTATTAAAATTTTTTTAATTTTTGTAAAATTTTATTTTAATAAATATAAAATATTTTAAATCTGAAACAGCCTGAACAAAATAAAACTTGTAGATGTTGGTGAAGAGGAATCCACTTGGAAGGAGAAAGAATAAAACTCATTAACCGCGTAGCGTAAAAATAACAAAATCACAGGTCAATTTGTCTGAAGAATCTACATTTTTCTCACCTTTACCAACATCTACAAGTTTTAATATTTACAAGCCAAAACGAAAGAACCTTGGGCCCACAAGGAAGATTTTGAAAATTAGAGGTCATCAATAATAAATTAACTTACTATACGGGTCCTTAACCGTTACCTCAGAAAATTATTATCGGTATTATATTGATCACCGTACCCAAGTGTTCCCACGAGGTAATTAATGTGCTTACTAAATGAAACAGCCGTCTTAAAAGGAACAGAAAATTCCCCAAACACGATCGAACTGGTTCAATTTGTGACAGTACGTAGAAGCGACATATTGAATATTTAATTAATAAGTGTACTAAAATAGAGAATTAATGCAGAGGAAGTTGCCAGTGTAAACACTCTTCAGAAGGAGCCGTGCTGATATGTTCAAAAGGAGACAGCTTCAGCCTATTCAGCTTCTGTATTTTAATTAATTATTCATGCAAGGTTACAGCCAATAGCCATACGCGTTTTGTTTACTTAGTAAAGCCTACTCTCACCTTCTCCATCGATCACTCCTTCTCTATAAATGCCTTCCACACTAAACCTCCATTCACAAATCAACAATACCATTCTTCCATTGTTTCTCAATCTACTCCCTTGCTCCCTCCGGTTTGCTTATTACCATCCTACAGCATCAACTTCAATTAATGACTAGATTATTACACATGGATGGAATCAATTTATTCCTCTCCAGCTTCGTTTTTATACTCTCATTTTCCTCGGTGTTGGCCTCCTCAGCATCACTCAAAGTGGGTTTCTACAAGTCAGCATGTCCATTAGCAGAAGCAATAGTGAAAAGAGCTGTCAACAAAGCCGTTTCTGCCAACCCAGGCATCGCTGCTGGCTTGATCAGGATGCATTTCCACGATTGCTTTGTCAGGGTGAGTAGAGTTCACACACCCATCTATTTCCAACTTTCTAAGCTTATTGCATATATATCTCAAAAATCTCACGCCATCTATTTATATGAACGCAGGGTTGTGATGGTTCTGTGTTACTGAAATCAACACCTGGTAATCCTGCTGAGAGAGACCACCGAGCAAACAACCCGAGCTTACGCGGCTTCGAGGTGATTGACGAAGCCAAAGCTCAGATTGAGGCCGTGTGTCCCCAAACTGTTTCTTGTGCGGACATCCTCGCTTTCGCTGCTCGAGACAGTGCTCAAAAAGTTGGGCACATAAGCTACGATGTCCCAGCAGGTCGTAGAGATGGCCGTGTCTCCATCATGGACGAAGTCCAAGGCAATTTGCCCCCACCTTTCTTCAACACACAGCAACTGATTGACAATTTTGCACGAAAGGGATTGTCGGCGGACGAAATGGTGACACTTTCTGGAGCCCATTCTATTGGCGTTTCCCGCTGTTCTTCCTTCTCCAATCGTCTTTACTCTTTCAATGCTACTCATCCTCAAGACCCTTCCATGGATCCTACGTTTGTGGAAATGCTGAAGAGAAAGTGTCCACCTTCAAGCATCAATAATGGTGGTGATGAAGATCCTAAGGTTGTACTCGATGCTGCTACGCCTAATCGATTGGACGACAAGTACTATGTGGCGCTGAAGAACCATCGTGGGTTGTTGAGCTCAGATCAGACATTGTTTGAAAATGACTCCACAAGGAAAATGGTGCTGAGAAATGGGAAATATGGTCTGAGTTGGGCTAACAAGTTTGCCAAAGCAATGGTGCGTATGGGTTCGATTGAAGTGCTCACTGGTTCAGAGGGAGAGATCAGAAAGACATGCAGCGTGGTTAATTGATTAAGATATGTAGCTAATAACTAGCTGGTTTGTTGTGCTTGGAAAGAATTTGTTCATAGCTCTGTTTTGTTTCTGAATTCTTTTATTCAATTATTCTTTTGCAAATGTAATGAAATGTTTCTCCATATTTAATTACTCTGTGTTATTCCTTCTACATTTTTTTATCTTTAAACCTTGAAATCTTCTTGATTTTGTTGCTGATTCATATTTTGGTATGTGTAACAGGAGTACAGATTAGAAGCATAAGTGGTCGTCTTTTCTTCTTGTTTGTTTCGTTTTTTTCAACGTTGACAATGTATAGCACATGATAACTATACATCATGGATACGTATACCATGATAGCTCTTACATTAATAATGTTGACAAATTAAAGGAAGACGTCTAAGGACTATATCGTTGAATTGAGTACTGATCAGAGATGCCATTTGGTGGAGCCTTCAATTTAAATTAACATACATGGTGGACAGATTCAACATCTCAGTATATTATTAATTAAATTATTCAATCCTTTGTAGTGTTACAGCTTATATATATATATATATATATATAACACTCTCTTCAGTCCCTATTATAGGATGTCTTTCAGACAGATTTTTTTTAATTCTTAATATGTATGTATATATATATATATATATATATAAAATGGACAAGGAGAGTTATTTATTATCATTTTTTAATTTTATTATTGTAAATTTAATTTGATGGCTCTGTCTCTTTCTTCCTATTTCAAGACATCCTTTACATTGCTTATTTATACAACTACTCCATATGTATCATTTTTCATGAAGAATATTTGGGAAATGAGAAAATTTTCAAACTTCACACTCATAATTTACGATCTAAGAAATTTTATATTTTCTGATAAAGTAAATAATTTTTTTATGTTATTGATAAGTCATTTCATTAATTTTTATTATAATTTTTTTTCTTTTATTCTCCATTAAATGTTAGTAAAAGTATGTTATTAAAAGATGTATATTTAATAGAAAAAAAATTATAAACTAATTAATTTTTTAGACAAAGTTAATGAATTTTAAGATTTTTTTTGACTTTAATAAAACATATTAAAAATGATTTATTAATAAAATTAGGAAATATAATATATATATATATATATATATCCACAGACATCTTCAGTTTTAGTCCATTAACACATGATGCATTCAGGAGTCAATTTTTAAGATTTACAAAACGCATTTAAAAAATTTACAGTTCAACTAATGCATTCAAGATCATTTACATGCGAATATGTCTTTTTACACTAGTTAAGTAAGTTGTAAAATAAACTAGTGTATTTAAGATTTACAACCAAATGTGTTTTTTTTATATTAGTTTGTCTTTTAAATTAAACTAGTGTAATAATTTACAAGCTAATTTAAATTCGTGTAATAATTTACAAGCTAATTTAAATTCAAGCATTGCTAAAACAAGAATAATGTTTTTTTTAATTACATACCATTTTTACTGCCACCATCTATGGTCATAATTCAATGGTGAGCCAGTAGAAATGGAGTTTTGTTCTTTCACCCATAGACTAGAAATGATGTTAATATCTTGGCATTAATTTTTTATAGAAGACTTCATTAATTATTTGTATTTTTCTCTATCCACTACAATCTAATAGAGCAGTAACATTGAACCACCTTGAAATTTAACATGATCAATGCGCTGGAAAAAATATTCCAAGAACAAATCAAATTAAATTTGCTTCTTAACCCCTATTATTAATTAGAAATTCGATCGGTGTTTGGGCTTGTATTTTTTTTTTTTTAAAAAAAAACCATTCAATGATGTACTAACATTGACAGTCCAACATTAACAACACATTTTGGATACCCACTATTTATAGCTATATAATGTTGACAAAGTATAAGACATCTAAGGATCATTATACTAATTACAGAAGCCAAAGAGTGAAGTGTTCAACTTTAGTATACGGTGGACAGCTTCAGCGCAACTTCTTCAGTCTATTCAATTAATTCGATCCTTACAAGATTTTGCCATCCTAAGTCTTGTTTATCCAACTGCTACTGTCATTTTTCTTGACCAAAAACTTCAGTTTCATGTCCATGGGTTCACTTACGACGATAAAATTTCCAATATGCAACCAAAAACTTAAAAACACCAAGAGTACTACATGAGAAATGTGGGAATGTTTTCACACATGGCATACTACGCTCAACATAGAAATCTTTATATATAAAACTTGTTTGAATGTGAAATGAATACATTTGATGGGTTTTAAAAATAGTTCACTTTTAATTAGTTTTACTTTTCTCTGTTTTTTAAGAATTGAAGATACTCTACAATTCCAACACGCAACAAAGAGGCTTGTGGTCCCTACTCCATTATTAATACAAATGGACTTCATCAAAGTCAATTTGATGCCACTAGCAACGGAAACAACATTTCCCCAGCCCTCGCTGAGTTGCTCAACCCGCAGTTATTTCACATATCATCAACTTGTTATTTTAATACTTCCTCTTAAACAAGTGTTCAAAGGAAGACAGCTTCAACCACAAGGACGTACAACACGTTAATGGCTGCCTCAGTAAGTAAAAGCTATTCCTTTTTGCGTCACCATCAACTCCTTCAAAACTCTCAACCTATAAATACAACCCTCCGACACAACTCCTCTCCACCTCAAAATTCCTAAGCCCCTCTATACACACCTATAATTCACGTCCTACAGCTAATCATTTCCTATAGTCTTTCAAGCTTTCATACATAAGACCAGAAGATTAATCCTTTGTTGAGGCTGAGAGTAATTGAATTTGCCTTGCTGTAGTGCACATCAATGGCTTTGGCCGGTCTGCAGATGAGTTTTTTCGTCTCTGTCTTTGCCATAATTAGAAGTGGCCTCTACTTCAGCTTCTTTGAAGGTGGGCTTTTATAAATCAACATGTCCTTCTGCTGAAGCAATTGTAAGCAAAGCTGTCAACAAAGCCATTTCTGCGAACCCGGGCATCGCTGCTGGATTGATCAGACTGCATTTCCATGACTGCTTTGTGAGGGTGAGTTCATTTTTTTTTTAATTTGACTCTATCATTTTATCCATTAATCTCTTTAAAATTCTCATCTCATAAATGTATACATACAGGGTTGTGATGGTTCAGTGTTGATAGAATCTAAACCTGGAAATACAGCTGAGAGGGACCATCCAGCAAACAACCCTAGCTTGCGAGGCTTCGAGGTGATCGAGGAAGCTACGGCTGAAATTGAAGCCGTGTGTCCTCAAACAGTTTCGTGTGCAGACATTGTCGCTTTTGCTGCTCGAGACAGTGCTTATAAAGCTGGTCGAATAAACTATGATGTTCCCGCTTGACGAAGAGACGGTCGTGTCTCTCTGAGAGACGATATCCCAAACAATCTGCCTCCACCTTCCTTCGACGCCACGCAACTCATTGAGCTTTTTGCAAGAAAGGGATTATCAGTGGACGAAATGGTGACACTTTCTGGAGCTCATTCCATTGGTGTGTCTCATTGTTCTGCCTTCTCCGATCGTCTTTATTCTTTCAATGCCGCACATCCCCAAGATCCTTCCATGGATCCTACGTTTGTTAAATTGCTGAAAACCAAGTGTCCATCACCAAGCAGCAATGTTGGTGGCAGTGATCCGACTGTGGCACTCGATGCTTCGACGCCAAACCGTTTGGACAACAAGTACTACTCAGTTGTGAAGAATCGTCATGGATTGTTGACATCTGATCAGACATTGTACGAAAGCAAGTCAACGAGACAAATGGTGTTGAACAATGCAAAAGATGGCTCAACCTGGGCTTACAAGTTCGGCGAGGCAATGGTTCGCATGGGTTCCATAGAAGTGCTCACTGGTTCACAGGGCGAGATCAGGAAGCGATGTGGTGCTATTAATTAACAACAGCCCCTTCTCTTCTGCATCAAAAATAGGACATGTTCATAGTGCTTTGGTTCCCCCCCCCCCACCATTTATACAGACAAGATTGATTCGTTCTTTATTTTTTCTTCTGGAAAAAGTATTCTTTGGCCTTCGAGTTCGTCGAAGAATTGTGTATATGTGTGGCTTTTACTAACTCAAATAAATGTCCTACAAATGTAATAATTTGTTTCAAAATAATGATGATATTTTGTTTGCTTTTACACTTATTCATTGCTACTTTTCTAATCCTAATTTTCTGTTCAACGCCATTAATTATGTGCTCATTAGTAAGATTTATAACAAGGTTTTAAATTTATACACACACATTCTCTCTTCATTCCTATTTATAAGATGACGGAAAAAAATTTGTTTTATTTATAACTCATGTTATCAATTTTTTATTATGATTTTTTTCTTTTATCCTCCATTAAATGTTAGTGAGTATGTTATTAAGATATGTATATTTAATAAGAGTATGTTTATGAACTTAGTAAGTTTTTAGACAAAATTAATGGGTTTTAAAATTTTTATTAATTTTTATAAAATATATTAAAAATTAGAAATAATTTATAAATAAGATTAAAGAAAGTGTAATACAGAATATATATATATATATATATATATCCCTATGGACATCTTCAATTTTAGTCTATTAACACATGATGCTATTACCTGTAGTTACAATTTAGGAGTCAATTTTTAAGATTTACAAATCCTATTTCAAAAATGTACAATTCAACTAATGCATTAGAGATCATTTACATGTGAATATGTTTTTTTTTTTTTACACCAGTTAAGTAAGTTGTAAAATAAACTAGTGTGGTAATTTATAAGCTTTCATTAAAAAATTTACAACTAAACTAGTATATTTAAGATTTACAATTAAAGTTTTTTTTTATATTAGTTGAGTTCTAAATTAATCTAGTGTAATAATTTACAGTTCAACTATTGCTAAAAAAAATAATGTTTTTTTAATTACATGCCTTTTTTTGCTGCGGCCATCTATGGTGATATTCAATGGTGAGCCAGTAGCCTGTCGAAGTTGATCAAAGTTGATTAAAATGGAGTTTTGTTCTTCCATACATAGATTAGAAATGATGTTAATCTCTTGGCATTAATTTTTTATAGGAGACTTAATTATTTGTAATTTTCTCTATCCACTATAACATTTAAATTCATGAAAATTTATTAGAGAAGTACAATTGAACCACCTTGAACTTTAACACAATCAATGTGCTAGAAAAAATATTTCAAGAACAAATTCAATTAACTTTTCTTCTTAACCCCTATTATTAATTAGAAATTCGGTGTTTGGACTTTTATTTAAAAAACATTCAATGATGCACTAACATCATTAACAACACGTTTTGGATACCTACTATTTATAGCTATATCATGACAAAGTATAAGACATCTAAGGATCATGATAGTAAATACAGAAGGCATAGAGTGAAGTGTTCAACTTTAGTATACGGTGAACAGCTTCAACGCAACTTCTTCAGTCTATTCAATTATTTCGATCCTAAGTCTCCTTTATGCAACAGCTACTGCCATTTTTCTTGACCAAACACTAAAAAGCACGAAGAGTACTATATATAAAACTTGTTTTAATGTGAAATGAATACATTTGATGGGTTTTAAAAATAGTTCACTTTTAATTAGATTTACTTTTCTCTGTTTTTCAAGAATTGAAGATACTCTACAATTCTAACACGCAATAAAGAGGCTTGCGGTCCCTACTCCATCATTAATACAAATGGACTTCATCAAAGTCAATTTGATGCTACCATCAACGAAAACAGCATTCCCCCAGGCCTCGCTGAATTGCTCAACCCACAGTTATTTCACATATCATCAACTTGTTATTTTACATACTTCCTCTTAAACGAGTGTTCAAAGGAAGACAGCTTCAACCATGTGCACGTACTACACGTTAATGGCTGCCACAGTACGTAAACGCTATTTCATTTGCCTCACCATCAACTCCTTCACAATTCTCGAGACCTATAAATACAACCCTTCATAACAACTCCTCTCCATCTCAAAATTCCTCGGATTAAAGCCTCTCCATACGCATCTATAATTCACCTCCCAGTTGAGCTTATACCATAGTCGTTCAAGCTTTCATCCATAAGACCAGAAGAAATCCATTGTTGAGGCTGAGAATAATTGAATCCTTGCTATACTGTACATCAATGGCTATGGCTGGTCCGCAGACGAGTTTTTTGCTCTCTGTCGTTGTCATAATTCTATCAGTGGCCTCTACTACTTCAGTTTCTTTGAAGGTGGGCTTTTACAAGTCAACATGTCCTTCTGCTGAAGCAATTGTAAGCAAAGCTGTCAACAAAGCCATCTCTACCAACCCTGGCATCGCTGCTGGATTGATCAGAATGCATTTCCATGACTGCTTCGTGAGGGTGAGTTAAGATTTTTGATTTGACTCTATCATTATATCCAGTTATCTCTGTAAAATTCTCATCTCATGAATGCATACACGCAGGGTTGTGATGGTTCAGTGTTAATAGAATCTACACCTGGAAATATAGCTGAGAGAGACCATCCAGCAAACAACCCTAGCTTGCGAGGCTTCGAGGTGATCGAGGAAGCTAAGGCTGAAATTGAAGCCGTGTGTCCTCAAACTGTTTCGTGTGCAGACATTGTGGCTTTTGCTGCCCGAGACAGTGTGTACAAAGCCGGAGGCATCAACTATCAGGTTCCATCAGGACGCAGAGATGGTCGTGTCTCTCTTAAAGACAATATCCCAAACAATCTGCCCCCGCCTTCCTTCAACGCCATGCAACTCGTTGACCTTTTTGCACGAAAGGGATTATCAGTGGACGAAATGGTGACACTTTCTGGAGCTCATTCCATTGGTGTATCTCATTGTTCTGCCTTCTCCGATCGTCTTTACTCTTTCAATTCCACACATCCCCAGGATCCTTCCATGGATCCTACGTTTGTTGAATTGCTGAAGACCAAGTGCCCACCACCAACCAACAATGGTGGTTTTAGTGATCCGACTGTGGCACTCGACTCTTCTACACCGAACCGTTTGGACAACAAATACTACTCGGGACTGAAGAATCATCATGGCTTGTTGACTTCTGATCAGACATTGTACGGAAGTATGTTAACGAGACAGAGGGTGGCCAACAATGCCAAAGATGGCTCCACCTGGGCTTACAAGTTTGTAAAAGCAATGGTTCACATGGGTTCCATAGAAGTGCTCAGTGGCTCACAAGGCGAGATCAGAAAGCGATGTGGTGCTATTAATAATTAACAATGGTGGTTTCTCTTCTACATATATCGTCAGAAACTAAAAATGAAACTCCTTTTAAATTTTTTTTCGTACATAAAAGATTGATTTGTTCTGTTGTCATAAGGTTTCGTTTGGCTTTGAATTCGTTCGATTATGTTTTAGCTTTACTAACTGTAATGATTGTCCAGTGTCCTGCAAATTAAATGCAATAAATCGCTTCAAAATAAAGTGATATTGATGTATTCTCTTTTACAATTTTCCTGGCAACTCATTGAACCACCTAATCAGACATTGTAATGTATATGGATTGTACTCCTTTAAACACTGAATCCATTGATCCATGAAGGAAGGTCACTTATGAATCTTTATAACATTAGTTATGAATAGATAGTTTTTCTTCGTATGAATAGATATATGGTTGCTTGTATATTTAATAATAATCACTTGCAAATCTATGAATAGCTTTTATTGTAAATTTACGTCTTAGGATACCCACATGTTCCTAAATATTCATCTACAACTAACTCTTCGTATATTCACAAATGACAATGCATAAATTCAGAAGAATATATATATATATATATATATTTACAATTAATTTTCATAAATTTACAAGTGATGAACTTCTTCAAATTCACAAGTAACTATCTTCAAATTTATAAGTAATGATGCATAAATTTATGAGACAATATATTTATTCATAATTGATTTTCCATTAATCCATAACTAACTCTCCTTAAATTCGTTCGATTAACTATTTCAATAAGGGTGTGATTATTGTTTAGAATATTTTAAGAAATCAATTGAAATCACTCAAATGATAAGAATTACCTCCCAAAACATTTTTAGAGAAATTTTTAGATAAATAGGGTACGTCACATTTTTTGTAGTCTATTCAATTAGGATACCCCAAGTTATCTAAATAAATTTTATGTGATATTATTTTAATTGATTTTATTTTTTATAACATAACGTATATTTAATTTCTTACATTTTCTTTCTCTATTATTATTAATATCAAAATTAATTTATATTTAATGTCATATGAATGTTATACTTTTATTGAATAGGCCACAAATGATGTGGCGCGCTCAATTTGCTTAAGAATTTTTTGCCATTTTTAATCATTATAATCTCAATTTTATGTACTAAAAAATAATTTCATTCACATATATATGACAATATTTGTGAAGCAATGTGAATAATAACAGGTGATGTGATATATGTATATCCAGAGTGAGTAACATTCTTTTCTTAGCGTGAATTATATTAACATTTAATTTAATTTAGAGCTTTAAAATAGTTTGCTTCTTAATTAATTAGTCCTAATTTTATCTACTTGAGCATCAAAGTCATTGTTGTCAAACTTGTAAGTTAATTCTTTAATTTTATCATTTTTTATGTTTTTAACTTATAAGATTATGTTAACTCACTCATAAATTTGGATTAGTTATAAACTTAGTTAAACTCACAAGTTAATTCTTTAAGTTTATCATTCTTACATTTATAACTTATAAAATCATATTAACTAGTTTATAAATTTGAACTGGATGTAAACTTATTTAAAGTCACTAAACTCGTTGCACCAAATTGAGCATATAATGTTTTATTAATCTATAAGGTTTTCTTAATCTTTTATGTAAGTCACTTTCCCTTGTTTTCTGTAACATTTGATGTACAATTCCAAAAAATATTTTACCAAGAAAATACTTTTCACATATAAAATCACTCTTAAAAATAAATCACTCTTTTAAAGTAATTTATTTTTAAAATAATTTTATTATTCTAACTAATTTTGGTTAGTTAGTGAGAATTGGAGGGGGTATATACTATGAAGAACTTAGTTGATAGAAGTGATAAAACCTAGCTTTAAAAAAAAAATTAAAACTCAAAAATAAAAAATTAATATTAATAAGAAACAAAAAATGCCAAAAATATAAGTTGCCATATTGTAAAATTTCAATGTCAAGTATAATAATCTATTAATGTAGATAGGCTTAATTTTAATTATTCATATTTGAAACATATATAAATCAAATTCTAGTCATATTGTATATCTATTTTATTTAGTCATTTATTTTAAATAGCTATTTATTAATAAAAATAAATTTTTACAAATGTATGATCCAAGTTCATATCCTTATTATGAATTTACTTAAACACAGGAGTAACCTTGACCGAAGCTATGGTAACTCAAACAAGCAACCTTCAGGCATAATTATGAGGCCAACTTTTATACGACTTCATCAAAGTCAATAATTTGACGCCAACGTTCGCCCACAAAAAAATAATAATAATAATTTGATGCCAACGTTTCCCTGACCCTAGCAGAATTGTTCAATCAGCTCCAGCATAATTTTACTTGTTATTAATTTTAAATAACTGTTCAAAGGAAGACAGTTTCAACTACACGTTTTGGCTGCCAAGGTTAAAGCTATTTCTTTTGCCTAATCAAACTCCTTAACAATTCTCATTCTATAAATACAACCTTCCAACACAGCCCATCTCCACCCCAAGTTCCTCCCACTAAAGCCTCCATCTTCATAATCCTGATTCACATTTTCATACATAACAGCAGAAGAATCCACTTCTGATCCATCTCGAGAGTGACATTAATTGAATTTCTCTGCAGTACGTGCATTCATGGCTGGCCTGCACATAAGTTTATTGCTCTCTGTCTTTATCATAATTCTGTCAGTGGCCTCTACTTCAGCTTCTTTGAAGGTGGGCTTTTATAAATCAACGTGTCCTTCTGCTGAAGCAATTGTAAGAAAAGCTGTCAACAAAGCCATCTCTGCCAACCCGGGCATCGCCGCTGGATTGATCAGAATGCATTTCCATGACTGCTTCGTCAGGGTCAGTTTCCTTTCACCCATTCCCTGCCTTCTAAGTTCAACAACTTTTCATATAAAGACAAATCTATGTATATCTAACACTGTTATATCTCCTTGATTATGTATACATACAGGGTTGTGATGGTTCTGTGTTACTAGAATCTACACCTGGAAATACAGCTGAGAGAGACCATCCTGCCAACAACCCAAGCTTGCGAGGTTTCGAGGTGATCGAGGAAGCTAAGGCTCAAATTGAAGCCGTGTGTCCTCAAACTGTTTCGTGTGCAGACATTGTGGCTTTTGCTGCTAGAGACAGTGCCTATAAAGCTGGTCGAATCAACTATGATGTTCCCGCAGGACGGAGAGATGGTCGTGTCTCTCTGAGAGACGATATCCCAAACAATCTGCCCCCACCTTCCTTCAATGCCAAGCAACTCGTTGACCTTTTTGCAAGAAAGGGATTATCAGTGGACGAAATGGTGACACTTTCTGGAGCTCATTCCATTGGTGTGTCTCATTGTTCTGCCTTCTCCGATCGTCTTTACTCTTTCAATGCCGCACATCCCCAAGATCCTTCCATGGATCCTACATTTGTTGAATTGTTGAAAACTAAGTGTCCACCATCAAGCATCAATGGTGGTAGCAGTGATCCGATTGTGGCACTCGATGCTTCGACGCCGAACCGTTTGGACAACAAGTACTACTCGGGACTGAAGAATCATCATGGCTTGTTGACATCTGATCAGACATTGTATGGAAGCAAGTCAACAAGACAAATGGTGTTGAACAATGCAAAAGATGGCTCAACTTGGGCTTACAAGTTCGCGGAGGCAATGGTTCGCATGGGTTCAATAGAAGTGGTCACTGGCTCACAGGGCGAGATCAGGAAGCGTTGTGGTGCTATTAATTAAAAATAGCCCCTTTCTCTTCTGCATCAGAAAACTTAAAAAAAAAAAAAAAAACAGGAAATGTTCATAGCTCCTTTTGTTTTTTTATACAGAAAACATTTATTCGTTTTTTGATTTTTGCTTCGGAAAAAGTATTTTGTTCAGCCTTCCAGTTTGACCAATTATGTACATGTTTGTCACGAGCTCTGCCATCTCAATTGGATGTCCTGCAAATGTAATAATAAATTAAAACGTTTCACAACAATGAAGTGATATTTTGTGCTTTGGTTTTGGAATTTTTTCGGTGCTATTTTTCTGTCATTCTACTTCGCAACAAACTCAATTGTGTATGACTGAGGGTTTTGTTGAGGCGAGAGATGGGAATTAATGGGATGATGGGAACTCATGCTTTGATTTGTTCCTTCGTTTGAATTGTCCTAACCGTTGACATTGTATATTGTCTATTCACAGGATGATGACGACGATGGTGTCAGCCTCATACATTTAAAACAGGTTATTTATATTTTTTCGAACAGATGAGACTTCATGAATTTAACTGTCAAGTATACATCTGCCCGGAGATAAAATCTAAAAAGACTCAACAATAAAACTCTGAGCATCCATCCAATTAATCTTTGTAAAAAGATACTAAGCATTTAAGAGCCATAGATACACGAGAGAAAAATGGCCTTTCAAAACTCATCTCCTAGCAGGGTTTCCCCCTCGAGGCGGAGCCTCAAATCCACCTCCACCACGCGCAGGTGGTGTTGCAGATCCATACGGATTGTTCACCGGTGGAGCAGCATGTCCGTGTGGGGCAGTAACACCTCTTGACTGGGCATCATAGCCAGCTGCTCTGGATGCATCATAAGCAGCTCCTCTGTGAGGATCATACCCAGTTCTCTGAGCATCATAACCAGTCAATCTCTGCGTATCATAAGCACCCCTCTGCGAATCATAAGGAGGCATTGCAGATGGATCATAACCAGGCCCTCTGGGAGCATCATAACCAGTCCACGCAGGGGCCGAGCCAGGCTGAGCTCCCACATAGGGAGGTGCACTGGCACCACTAGCAGCCGTTGCAACCCCAGCGCTGGAAGCAGGGAGGGGACCACGTCCCTGTTAACAAGAGCAGGATTATTAAGGCAACATGCGTGGATGACAAGTTAAAACGGGTAGAGATAAATTGGACCACGTCTCAGTTTTCTGATTGGTAACCCTTCATTATCGTCAGCTACACACAAGGCCTCCCTTTTTACCACCCCAGGATTTCATCACAAACATGAAAGATTTCACTACAAACATCAATGTCAAGTCTATAATGCTTCTTAACCAGTCCCTTGACTTTCCAACATATATACGATGCACATTCTCCATGCCCATTTTGCACATATCAGTAAATCACAAAAGCTTATAAAACAATAATGCAGATGTTGTTAATAATAATAATAATAATAATAATAATCACAAAAGCTTATAAAACTATAAAAATAATCAATCCAAGCATCTTAAAAATACAGACCGTAATCATAGATTGACTAATTTCATTGTCTAAAGGAAATCAGATCAAACAGAATCTTTTCATTTCAAGCTAACTATGTTAATTACAAAATCATATCATTACTATTTTTTTTTTTCTGCACACCAGAGACTATCATCCCAGCATACGACATTATTATGACATATGCTATGGTTATGGAAGGTCAAGAAACATTAGGAAGCATTGGCCAAAGAAAAAGACATAAAATAATTGGTTCAAGCATCTTGCTTACGCTGAACAGAATGACAGAGATCAGTAACACTGGAAAGTGAACTAGAAACTTTCAATCACCCAACAAACTTAAGAATAGCATTCACACACACCTGAGCAGCAGCATAACCATCTTCATATGCATTTTGACCACCAGGAAGACCAGAGGCATCATTTTCATTTTTTCCAGGAGTGCCACCATAAGGTCCTGTGACGTTTGATGGTAATGTGAAGGTCAAACTACATAATCCATGAAAACTTAGAAAAAGGACTGCAACAGAGAGAATATAACAATATATACAAACCATTTCTTCTATCAATATTAGCAGTGTTTGCTAACTCAGCTCTAAGTTTTTCCACTTCCCTTGCCATGGACACGTAGTTCTTTTCCATCACCTGAAGTGACTCAATGTGATCATTGTACAGCTTTCTTTCATAGTCATAAGTGGATCTGCATAAGCCAACCAAAAGATTATCAGTATCATGGGGCATTTATCACAGCACATCGACAATATGCTAGCAAAATGAAAATTAGAATGCAATTGCAAGGAAATAAAGGAAACTAAAAGAGAAAAGGAAGTTGTATATGCATTTTTAATGGAAAGGAGGACAAGAAATTAAGGGAGCAAAATACTAATTAAGAAAGAAGAGCATTTATTCAATCTTGTTGAAGATCAGTTTAGCCATATCATTCTTGATATTATTCATATAAGTCTCCAAGTTCTATACTCTTTGAATGTAATCAAAAAAGATAGGCAATGGAGAAACCAAAACACACAAATGAAGGAACTTTCCTATTCCTCCACAGTAGGCAAGTCAGGTTATTTTAATTCAACCCAAAAAAAAAAAAAAAACAAAGCAGAACATTTATATTCCTTTTCATTTCTCAGATAAGCCACATTCTTGGCATCATTATATAAGTCCTCCTTACCAATATGCTAGGTTAATTGGAACACAAAAAATACAGAAACTTTGGAATTCACATCACCACAATTAAAATAACTTTTCTAACCCCTTCAAATTAAGCAGATCAAATTGAAAAAACAGAAGAAAGGAAGAAATGAAAGGGGAAAAAAGGAAAGCACTTGTATTCTTTTGTCATTTGTCAGATAAGCCACATGGTTCTTCATAGCGTCATATATCTTTTCCTGTTCTATATGCTAGTTTAAATGGAACACAAAAGACAGAAACTGAAGGGATCCAAACACCACAAGCGAAGGAACTCTTCTATCTCTCATTCACTCCAAAAGGCTACAGGTCCGGTTTTACAAAAAGAGAGAGAAATTATAATCTTTCTTCCGTCTATTAGATAAGCCACATCATTTTTTTTAATCAATATTGAATGAATACATATGTCCCCTGAATTCTGTCAGTTGAGATCAATCTGCTTTAGCAATCATTTATTCTTCATTCTCTATCCTAACATAGAAATGCAAATTCACAATGCTGGTGGAGGAAGGACGGACAATGGTTTACAATGGAAGGGGGTGACAAAGAAATGGGTCCAAGTACACTACAAAATAATTGACCTATTTTGTTACAAACGTACTCTGCAGAAATGGACCCAAGCACTGCCAACGTTGCCATATTGGACATAAATTTAGTCATTATTGGGGTAAAGCCTTATCAAGCCTTTTACTTCCAGCAAATAATTTGTGTTAATCTTATTATCTAGTATCAACTATAGTTCAAATGAAATCTTCAACCACAGAAAACACAATAGCATTTTAGTTCTTTTATTGAAAGCCATAAATTCATGCCTCCAGATAGTTGATGATAAACATTTCATATCACGCACATACAATTGTACTAGAAGTGACAATCATATTAATCCTACAAGTCAGGTTTTAGTGCCTTTGTGCATAATATTGCCATTGGAAAAACCCATAAACAAAAGAAAAGGATTACCTGCAATGCTGATATTCCTGTCTGAGGCCCTCAAGTTCTGACATAAGAGCAGGAATCTGCTGCACATCTACATGGGCCCTTTGAAGATCCTGAGTCAATTGCTGCCTTTTAGAAATAAGTTCCTTTCTAGACACAACCAAATTCTGGGCCTCTGTTCTTGCCTTCTGTAATTCAACTTTGAGAGGCTCCGCCCCTTGAAGATCAGTTTCCATTTTCGCAATCTTATCCATAAGGTTCCTCATCTGCTGCTCTCTTTCAGCCTTAATAGCTCCAATTTGCGCATTCAATATCTGTAACTCGTGCTGCGCTGCGGCAAGCTCCTGTCTCAATGTCCCATGAGTGGTGGCAAGCCTTTGGTTCTCTGTGACCAGCCTCTGCATATCAGCATGTTGAGCAGCAAGCTTCTGCTCCAGAACTTCCGGAGGTGGCAGCAAATCAAAAGGGGGAAATGGAGCCAATGGAGGGCGTATCCCAGGACCTAGTGGCTCAGGATGAATCAAACCAGGACCTGGCAAAGGACGCCTCATATGTGGAGGCGGTACTCGACCTTTACTACCCATTCAATGGACCGAAGTGTGTGACCTAAAAATGAAGATGATACACAAAACCCAGTGAGGCCACAAACTCAATCATCAACATCCACGCAGCTTTCAAGAATCGTTCGTTAATCGCATAATTGCAAATCAAAAGCAAGGAATAAACAAATTTCCTGTAGCGAATAACCAAGGTAAGACGGGCGAAAAAAAAGAAAGAAAGAAAATAGAAGAATTAGCAACAAGATGTATTGATATCGAGATGATACACGATCTGGGATGGCAAATATCTTATGCGAGTTCAATGAGAGCTGAAAGAATATGTTACCTTCCAGCAATTACACGCTTCGTTGGGGATATCACAGACACAGACTAGTCAGTGTACGCACGGAAAGGCAGCGAAACAAGGTTGGTTCAAGGGTTTTGGTCGTGGAAACTCGCAAATCGAAGCAATTTTTTGTTCAAAAAATGGGCAAAGGCTCGAAAGACCGGCATCGGAAAAAAGCTCTGATAGCTGGAATTTATTTTGTTTGACAGGAGATTAGGAATACAAAAAACTTGAGTGAAAATTATGGTAAATTGGTTATATCGTTGAGTGATAATTTGGCCTGTAAATTATATGTTCAGTAACATTAAATTTATTTTTTCATGCAATAGCATCTTTAATTTTTCAAAAAATATAATATTATTTTTATTATTAATTAAAGTTAACTTTTTAACTGTTACTTAATCAAAAAATAATAAAATATGATTTTAAAATTATAGAAAAGAATTAAAAATTTTTTTATCATTTTTTATAATTTTTTGAATTCTATTTTATAACTTTTAGATTTTTTGTAGTTTTCTATAACAATTCAACATAGTATAATAATGACCTTGATAATATATATATATATATATATATAAAAGATGTTTGTTTTTAAATAAGATATGACGCATGAATTGAGAGTTTAGTCTGGTAAAAAAAGCTAGTCAAACACTATAAATTAAGATTTGAATCTTCACAAAGAGAGTACTTGCCCACATTTAACATATAATGTGTCTTGAATAATTGTCTTTAACAGGGAGATGCTCACGAGCCGTCAAAAAATTAA